TTTTTTTGTTGTTTGTTTTTTGCCCAGGTTCAAATTACTATCCTATCCCCAGCCCTCTCTTCATCATCAACCTTCTTGAAAGAACAGTTTATATTTATTATTTCACAACTTCTTTGCCCCCCATTTAAATGTTTATGTGGTCAGATAAGTTTATGAAAGAGCTTAAATGAAGTCAAATGAGTTTGTCTGCTTGGAAAATTTTCAGACTCTTTTCTACATTAACACTTACTGTGAATCTCCAAGTGGGGAGGGATTAAAAAAATATATAGCATATAAGTTTTTCTCAGATTTAATTGAGAACCTATTTATTTACTGTCTGAATACTAAGAGGGCCTGGAAGTTAAGCATACACTCAATAAATAAGCATAAAGTAAACAATGCCCTGAGAAACCCAGTCTGGGAAGTCTGTAGGGAATCCATCTTTCTGCACCCAGGCACCTGATACATGCCCAGTAATAGGTGTTTATGAAATGTCTGTTGAATGAATGAATGTATACGTAATTCAGGAGCACTACTCTGAGCAGAGATCTCAGTGCCTGTTCAACGTGGAATTCAGGCCTATCTACAAACACTCATCCTAAAAACACCAAAAGGCCAGGTAGGCTTCATGGGCTTGTGACCTGGACAGTAATGCTGGCTCATCTCTCCTCATGCTTAAAAAGACCTTGTACTTGGGTTAATACTCTGCTGTCTCCATTTTGAAATTTTTAATAATTTTTCAACAAGGGGCACCACATTTTCATTTTGCACTGGGCCCCACAGATTCTGTAGCTGATCTTACCTGAGGAGTCCCTTGCTAGAGCTCTTTTGCTCCCTCCTAATGTCCCTCACCTTCCCAGTGCCCAGAGATAATCTTCCAGTCTTCCCAACAACAGGGACTCATCAAGGTATGCCCAGCTTCTGGAACCCTCTGTTCAATTCCCCTCCATCAAAACCTATGTTCTGAATGTGTTCCTAATGTTGGCAGTTAGACTCTCTTTAGCTGTCATACTAGAAAGGATAGATCATTTGCTTTAGATTAAAGTGTTAATATCTAAGAAGACATAAAGTGTTACCCTTATCTCCCATCCCCGGGTTAAATGAGCTTTATAAAGGAATGATTCTTCTTGCCAAAGACTGGCTCTCTAATAGTAGAATTTTAGACATTCACCATACACAGACATTTCAAGCATTCACCATAAATGGATATTTTGGGGTGAGAAAATCTTCCTCTGTCCTTCAAATTGTCCTGTTAAGGTGACTGCTGACAATATCACTTCATTCTTTGATGAAAGGACTCTCATTCATAATAAACATTGTCATTGCATTTTCTTTTTTTAAACTGGCAGAACACTATCAAAGATATGTCTTTGTGAAGCAGTTTTACAATAAACATATTCCAAGAGCCTGTTGACTTTTATCTACAGTTGCATATCTTTTGAGTTAGAAATCAACAGTCCTGGATTCCAAAGAGGTCCATTTTGCCACTCTCTAAGCTACATGACCATGGATAAGTTACCTGATCTCTTGAATTGTTTCCTCATTAAAAAAATTAAAAATTGGGGTAAAGAATACCTCTTTTCCTACTTTCAGGTTTATTTGGGGTGTTAAATGAGACATATGTTTTGAAGACCATGGTGGGGACCCCATGATTAAATAAATTTCCCAATTGTGAAATAGTGTATTCTGGAATGTCTGAAGCCAGATGCCGAGCTGGAGTCAAGGAAGGCCAGGGAAACCAGGGTATGGGGACAAAACTTGAAGGACTGACAAAGAAAGAAAAGCTGTAAGGGTGGAAAGGTGACTGTTTGGATCTGCTGAGATCAGCTTTCCCTTTACTGGCATGAGTCAAGGACATGGTCGATGACAGCGGTCAGCTACAAAGTAAAATTTTAAAAACGATGGTGCAGGACCTGGCATTGTTTCTTTTTGTTATATATAAGGTTGCTATTAGTTGGACCCTAACAACAACATGACAGGAAAGTGCTAAAGAATTGGAGCAGGAGGGAAGAAGGGTTGGGGAAAAAAGGTAAGGTAAAGTGAAAGAAAAGAGGAAGATTTTCTTTTTTCTTTTTCATTATAAGTGGAAGAGTGAACAACAGAAGGAAGAGACAAGAAAAGGAAAGTTGATGTTGATCTTGTGAAGGAAGGAAGGCAGAAGGAAGACCTTTCAAGGGAAGTTATAAGGAGAGGATCTGTTTCATAAACAATAGAAGTAGCTGCTCAAAAAGAATTCATGTAGAAGGGAGCCTGATTAATAAATCAGATGGAAAGTTGTTGAGACATATATTGGCAGTAATTCAAATTCAGGGCAGTAAGGAGCCTGTGGGCTTCAGATCATCAGAGAAGTTGGATTTGTTTTGAAGATCCTATCAGGAGTAAAAAGACAAACCCGTGGGAAAACCTTGGTAGTGACTCCAATTAGCAGGCCAAGGCTAAAATTTCTGACCATTTGCTTTAGGAAGGAAGGAGCAGATAGAAAAAGCATTGTGATATGGTTTACAAAAAATTGTTTAAAAAATGTATTTGTGACTCCATTCAAAACTAGAGGACAATTTGGTGGGCTTGACAGGAGAATGTGACTAAGAAGTAGAAACCAAGGTGGAGGTCAACCTACGAAGGCAGGTGGGGGAGGTCGGAGATAGGAGGGTGAACGGGCAAGATTCAATAGTAGCAAGAGACAAAAAAGTTAATAAGTGAAGTCCATTTTCCAGGATGTCATTCCAAATACGGTCAGGACAGGTAGCGTTGGAGGCCAACTTGGTATGGAGTTAGATTAGATCTATGCAGGAATCTGGCGTTCATGGAGTTCTGGCACTAGATAGTTGAAAAGCAGGGCTCAGAGGTATGAACTGCAGTTCCTACAGAATTTGGGGTCCAGTGCAGGATTTTTGTTTACCGAAGCACAAAACAGGAGAGATCCAGGCCACTGTAGGAGCAGCTCTTATCTTCTGACTTAGGGTTCCTCTTTTGGGTGAAGGTAGATCCCAAAGTCTGAAGTGAAGCATCTGGATCTTATCACAGGTAGAGATGGACTGTACTGGATGGAAGGCAAGGAGGTTGCAGGAGACTAAGATGGCAATTACAAGAGGAGGAGAAGAGAAAATGGGAGCAGATATTCTTATGTACAAAAAGAAAATATTTTTTGGAAGCAGTTACATGTGGGGTGTGGAAAGGAGGAAGTAGGAAGGGTGGAGAGAAGATAAGAAACATAGATTAATCACTTTACTAACTACTTCACAGGTTTAATCTCATCTAAATGTTACAGCAACACTGTGAGGTATCTATTATTATCTCCAGTTTATAGATGTGTGTTTAGGTTATTTGCTATATATATTGATAATAAATGTGACTAAGCTTGATTGAATGCTTATTAGGTGCCAGACATTTTACATAGATTATCTCTTTTAATCTTTACAACAGCCATATGAGGTAGATGCTGTTATTACTTCCATTTTTCAGAAGAGAAAACAGGCCTGGGGAAGTTCAGTAACTCCCTCAACGTCACTCAACCAGAAAATGGTGGAAGCCAGGATGCAAACCCTGGCTTTCCAGAGCCCCAAATCTTAACCAGCATGATGAATAGCCTCTAATAAGGAAGTCAAAATTAAAAGGAGAAAGATAAGGATTATGGATTTACAAAGACTTAAAGGCTATTATTTAAAAAGAAACAATGGATGGTAGGAATGGGGAGATGCCTGAGAGAGGAAAATCCAGTGCACTCTGGAAGTATAGAAGAAGGAAAACCTAATCTGGCCTGGAGAATTTGAATGTTTAATTTTTAGAAGAAAAAGAAACTTTTTTGATAATTTTAATAATGGTGATGGCAATGATAACACAGTGAGCATTTATTGAACACTTACTATGTGCCAGGCTCTGGTCTAAGTGCTTTATACATACTACCCCATTAGATTTTCAGAACTATCCTTTTGTCCCTTTCTGTTGAATGAATCTTAAAAGTAATCATATAGTTTCACTTTTAGGAAAGTCTAGGTCATAGGGTTGAAGTCCAAGAAACTCAGCTCCTGAACCCTCCGTGTTTTACTACTTCATAGCATTTATTTCTGTCTGAAATTATCATGTTTCTTTGCTTGTTTACTATCTGCCCCTCTCTGTCAACAGGTCAACTCTAAGAAAGCAGGGGCCTCACTCATCTTGTTTAACTCTGTATTTGCAGCAGCGAGAGGAATTCCTAGGGCATAGGAGGTGAGAAATGAATATTTGCTGTATAAGTGAATGAAGAGAATCCAACCTTTTAGCGTTCCAGAACAATTCTTTTTCCACTATATTGAATTGCTTACCATAGAGACCAGCTACTCATATACCCTACAGCATCTTTGTCTCTGTGCTCTCTCTCAAGGACCATCAGTTCACTTTCTCTATCACTAACTCAACTATTCATTGACCCAGGTACACTTAATAATGAAGCAAGGAAGAGAGGTTTTTTATTTTTTCTTCAAAACATAGCATAGAAGTTATTACAAAAGTGATCAAACTATCTGTATATAAAAACAACTCTATAGTACCACATAGGCATCATTTTAAAGGATCAAGATCCTAAAGTAAATGATAAAGTCAAATGAGAATGCAGAGTACATATAAAGGAATTGTTTTTTATTGTTGGGTACCGTCTGTAGAGTGGACTCCAACTCATAGCGGACTCATAGCGACCTTACGTGAAACAGAATGAAACATTGCCTGGTCCTGCACCATCCTCACATATAAAGGAATAGAGTGTAAGATAAAAAAGGAACAGCTACCAGTATAAACAATCTGTATTAGAGATGTATTAAGCATGAGCTTTACTTCTGGGACTTTTTGAGGGTTGGTGTTATAAGTAACATGTTTTTAGAGACTTTTTAAGGTAATGTGTATTCCTAAGCATTTTACACAGATCTCTGTTGAGATAAAGGACTTGAGTGCCTGGGATGTTTATAAAGTCAGGTTGATCAGATCAGGTTGTGACTAACGGAAACTCTTCTGAAGTGAAGACTCCATTAAACGATCCCTCAAACACTCACCTGTCTACACGAAGCTGGCAGACGATGCTTAGTGTATCAACAACTCCTTCTTCTTTCAACTGTCGACAGCCAATGGATGTAGCAATGAAACATCCGGTTCTACCTATCCCTGCGCTGAAAAGATAAAGAATAAAAAGGTGGAGGAAAGACCACAGAGGTAAATTATATTCTTTTAAATGGGTAATTTTAAATCTGAAACAATAATTAGAAGTAATAATAATAAAACATCTATCATATATTGAGTAATATAAGCCAGGACCTGTGCTAAGTGCTTAAAGTACGTTCTTTCATTTAGTTATATGTAGCAGGATGAGTAGGAGCCCTGGAAGCTCAAGAGTTCAGCACTTGGCTATTAATTAAAAGGTTGGCAGTTCGAACTCACCCAGTAGATCTGCAGAAGAAAGACCGGGAGATCTACTCCCATAAAGGTTGTTGTTGTTAGGTGCCATCAACCCTACGTACAACAGCACTGCCTGGTCCTGCGTCATCCTCACAACCGTTGTTATGCTCAAGCCGATTCTTGCATCCATCTCCTTGAGGGCCTTCCTCTTTTCAACTGACCCTCTACTTTACCAAGCATGATGTCCTTCTCCAGGGACTGGTTCCTCTTGATAACATGTCCAAACTATGTGAGACGAAGTCTTGACATCTTTGCTTCTAAGGCGCGTTCTGGCTGTACTTCTTCCAAGACAGATTTGTTCATTGTTCTGGGAGTCCATGGTATATTAATTTTCTTTGCCAACACCATAATTCAAAGGCATCAATTCTTCTTCGGTGTTCCTTATTCGTTGTACAGCTTTCACATGCATATGGGGCGATTGAAAACACCATGGCTTGGGTCAGGTGCACCTTAGTCTTCAAGGTGACATCTTTGCTTTTTTACACTTTAAAGAGGTCTTTTGCAGCAGATTTGCCCGATGCAATGAATGCATCATTTGATTTCTTGACTGCTGCTTCCATGGGTGTTGATTGTGCATCCAAGTAGAATGGAATTTCGACAACGTCAATCTTTTCTCTGTTTATTATGATGTTGCTTATTGGTCCGGTTGTGATGATCTTTGTTTTCTTTATGTTAAGATGTAATTCATACTGAAGGCTGTAGTCTTTGATCTTCATCAATAAGTGCTTCAAGTCCTCTTCACTTTCAGCAAGCAAGGTGTGTCATCTGCATATTGAAGGTTGTTAATGAATCTTCCTCCTATCTTGATTCCCTGTTCTTCATCACATAGTCCAGCTTCTCGGATTATTTACTCAGCATATAGATTGAATAAGTATGGTGAAAGGATACAACCCTGACACACAACTTTCCTGATTTTAAACCATGCAGTATCCCCTTGTTCTGTTCAAAGGACTGCCTCTTTGTCTATGTACAGGTCCCTGATGAGCACAATTAAGTGTTCCGGAATTTCCATTATTTGCAATGTTATCCAGAGTTTGTTATGATCCATACAGTTGAATGTCTTTGCATAGTCAATAAAACACAGGTAAACATCTTTCTGGTATTCTCTGCTTTCAGCCAGGATCCATCTGACATCAGTGATATCCCTGGTTCCACATCCTCTTCTAAATCCGGCTTGAATTTCTGGCAGTTCCCTGTCAATATATTGCTGCAGCCACTTTTGAATGATCTTCAGCAAAATTTTACTTGTGTGTAATATTAATTATATTGTTTGCTAATTTCTGCATTCTGTTGGATCACCTTTCTTTGGAATGGGTGCAAATATGGACCTCTTCCAGTCGGTTGGCCAGGTAGCCATCTTCCAAATTTCTTGGTATAGATGAGTGAGCACTTCCAGTGCTGCATTCATTTGTGGAATCATCTCAGATGGTATTCCATCGATTCCTGGAGCCTTGTTTTTCACCAATGCCTTCAGTGCAGCTTGGACTTCTTCCTTCAGTACCGTTGGTTCTTAATCATCTGCTGCCTCCTGAAATGACTGAACGTTGACCAATTCTTTTTGGTACAGTGACTTTGCATATTCCTTCCATCTTCTTTTGATGCTTCCTGTGTTGTTTAATATTTTCCCTGAAGAAACCTTCAATATTACAACTCGAGGCTTGAATTTTCTCCTCAGTTCTTTCAGCTTGAAAAATGCCAAGCATGTTCTTCCCTTTTGATTTTCTGACTCTAGGTCTTTGCGCATTTCATTATCATACTTTACTTTGTCTTTTCAAGCCGACCTTCAAAAGATTCTGTTCAGCTCTTTACCATTTCTTCCTTTTTCTTTAGCTACTCTATGTTCAAAAGCAAGTTTCTAAGTCTCTTCTGACATCCATTTTGGTCTTTTCTTTCTTGTCTTTTTAATGACCTCTTGCTTTCTTCATGTATCATGCCCTTAATGTTATTCCACAACTCGTCTGGTCTTCGGTCATTAGTGTTCAATGAGTCAAATCTATTCTTGAGGTGGTCTCTAAATTTAGGTGGAATATACTCAAGGTCATACTTTGGTTCTGGTGGACTTGTTCCAATTTTCTTCAGCTTCAACTTGAACTTACATATGAGCAATGGATAGACTGTTCTGCAATCAGCCCCTGGCCGTGTTCTGACTGATGAGATTGATCTTTTTCATTGTCTCTTTCCACGGTTGTAGTCAATTTGAGTCCTGTATATTCCATGTGGTGAGGTCCACATGTATAGTCGCTGTTTATGTTGTTGAAAAAACATGTTTACAACGAAGAACTTGTTGGTCTTGCAAAATTCTGTAATGCAATTTCTGTAACCAAGGCCATATTTTCCAAATACCAATCCTTCTTTGTTACCAACTTTCACACTCCAATCACCAGTAATTATCAATGCATCTTAATTGCATGTTTGATCAATTTCAGACTGCAGAAGTTGGTAAACATCTTCAATTTCTTCATCTTTGGCCTTAGTGATTAGTACATAAATTTGAATAATAGTTGTATGAACTGGTCTTCCTTGTAGGCATCTGGATGTTATTCTATCACTGACAGCATTATACTTCAGGATAAATCTTGAAATGTTCTTTTTAACGATGAATGCTATGCCATTGCTCTTCAATTTTGTCATTCCTGGCATGGTATACCATAGGATCATCCAATTCATAACAGCCAATGCCAGCCATTGTAGCTCACTAATGCCTAGGATATTGATGTTTATGTGTTCCATTTCATTGTTGAGGATTTCCAATTTTCCTAGATTCATACTTCGCACATTCAATGTTCTGATTATTAATGGATGTTTGCAGCTGGTTTTTCTCATTCTGAGTCACACCACATCAGCAAATGAAGGTCCCGAAAACTGGACTCCATCCGTGTCATTAAGATTGACACTACTTTGAGGAGGCAGCTCTTCCCCAGCGTATTCTGAGTGCCTTCCAGCCTGAAGGGCTTATCTTCTAGCATTATATCAGACAATGTTCCACTGCTATTCATAAGGTTTTCATCAGATAATTTTTTCAGAAGTAGACCACCAGATCCTTCTTCCTAGTCTGTCTTAGTCTGGAAGTTCAGCTAAAGCCTGTCCACCATGGGTGACCCTGCTGTTATTTAAAATACCAGTGGTATACCCCACACTTCTGTCATTTATCACACTGTGGTGGCTTTCGTGTTCCTGTGATGCTGGAAGCTATGCTATAAAAGTTACAGCCTAGCAAACCCTATGGGGCAGTTCTACTCTGTCACATGGGGTTGCTGTGAGTTGAAATCAACCTGACAACTCCTAACAACAACAGTAGTAGGATGAGTGCGGTGAGAAGATGTCATGAGTGAGAGAAGAGTGAAAAAGGCACTGTAATAATTCTAGAAAGAATAATTAGGACCTGAACTTAAGTAAGATATGAGCAGTAGAAAGGACGGGAAAGACTTCAGGCATCAAAAAATGTGAGTCTAGAGGGACTGGAACTGAAGAGTGAGCAAAGTGTAAAGGTGACTAAGTCTCGAGTACTGGAAGAATGGTGACACCACTGAGCTAAAGGGGAATTCTGGAATAAGGGCTGATTTGGGGACAGAGATGGGGAACTTGGTCTTGGATATATTAATATTGAGGATTCTAGTGAATAACTGGATTCAATTTAGTTTAGGAGAGGAAACATTTCCAAGTCATTATACAGAGGTGATAGTTAAATAGAAACATTGTCTGTCCAAAAGGGTTTACACATTAATTTACCCTAAACAGTATGTCCATAAACTCAACCTAACAAGCCCTTTCTCTCTCTTTTTTTGTCTCTTTCAGCAGTTTCAACCACTCACAGTCTCCACTCACAGTCTTTATGTAAATGTCTCTCAAACCTACATCTAAATTCCCAAAGTTTCTTCTAAACTCTAGATTGCACTTCATATCCTAGCTGGCACTCTTGATGTCACTATTCTGCACTTGCTTCAATTCAATGTATCTAAATTCGATATATTTAAAACAGAATTCATTATCTTTCCCCTCAATGGTATTACCAGCCAGGCACAACTTTTCCAGCCTAGAAATCTTGGAGCCATCTTTAACGTCTTCCCTCTCTCTCACCTCCCACAGCCAATCTGTTACCAATTATTATATTTTCCACCTCCGCTGAGCCTTTGGGATCTATGCTTCCCTTTCTGTAGACTGTGCTCACGTTTTCAGCATCTTCTTGTTTTATGATTAAATTAAAGCAATGATCTCATTATGGTTTCCAAGTCTCAAGGTTTTTCCTGGACTAATTCACCATACACACAGCTGTAGGTTAATCTTCCTAAAACAAAGACCTAATCATATTATTCCCTACTCCAAACTGTTCATGGCTCCCATTAGTTATAGAATAATGTCTAAGCTCCCTACCATGGTATTCATGGCCACACACAATCTGAACATGACTATCTTTCAAGATTTATGCCCTTCTGCAGTTGTCCCTGTGCCTGTTCTTCTTTATATGAATCATTACAATAAATGCCTTTTATTTTCCAATTTTTCTTTCTGTGTTAATGATACTTTATTAGTCAGAATTTCCCCCTTCACCACCTTTTAAAACCTTAAACACTAGTCATTTTTCAAGGCCCACTTCAACATATTCCAACTTTCAGATGGTTTCTTCAATCCCCATGATTAGAATTAATAATTCTCCTCTTGGCATTCAAATGACATTTATTTTTCATAGTTGGCACTTGTTTCATGTTGAATGTGAGTGCTAGAGGGATTGAGAAAAGGAATGGATTCTTTTTTTGTTGAATTGTCTATACAGAGTTTATTTCATTGATGAAATAGGATTTTAACTGTACTCTAATAATGACAGGAGTTTTGGTTATCATGACAGAGGGAGAATATTCCGTGTGAGGGAATGGTATAAGAAAAGAACAAATTTATAACAGGATATATGATGTATGACAATGAGTAGACTAGCTTGACTTGAAGAGAGAGCTATTTTAGAGGAACAGTGGGAAATAAGACAGGGAGGGTACACTGGGGTGTATATTTTTGTTCTAAGTTGCCATTGAGTTGATTCCAACTCATGGCAACCCCATGTGTGCAGAGTAGAACTGCTCCATGCTCCATAGGGTTTTCAAGGCTGTGACTTTTCAGAAGCAGATCACCAGGTCTGTCTTCCAAGGTGACTGTGGGTGGTTTGAACTGCCAACCTTTTGTTTTTATTTATTTATTTATTATTAATCTTTTTTTCTTGTACTTTAAGTGAAAATTTATTCAAATTAGTCTCTCGTACAAAAATTTATACATACATTGTTATGTGACCCTAATTGCTCTCCCTGTACTGTGACAGCACACTCCTCCTTTCCACCCTTGATTTCCCATGTCCATTCAACCAGCTCCTGACCCTCTCTGCCTTCTCTTCTCACCTTTGGACAGAAGCTGCCCATTTAGTCTCATGTATTTACTTGAACTAAGAAGCACACTCTTCATGAGTATCATTTTATGTCCCATAGTCCAGTCTAATCTTTGTCTGAAGTGTTGGCCTTGGGAATTGTTTTATTTCTGGGTTGACAGAGAGTCCGGGGGCCGTGCTTTCTGGTGTTCCTCCAGTCTCAGTCAGAACATTAGGTCTGGTCTTTTTACTAGAATTTGAGTTCTGCACCCCACTTTTCTCCTACTCCAACAGGGAATCTCTGTTGTGTTCCCTGTCAGGCAGTCATTGGAGGTAGCCGGGCATCATCTAGTTCTTCTGGTCTCAGGATGATGCAGTCTCTGGTTTATGTGGCCCTTTCTGTCTCTTGGGCTAATACTTCCCTTGTGTCTTTGGTGTTCTTCATTCTCCCTTACTCAAGGTTGGTTGGGACCAATTGCTGCATCTTAGGTGGCCATTTGTTAGCCTTTAAGACCCCAGACACCACTCACCAAAGTAGGATGCAGAACATTTTTTTCAATAAACTCTTTTATGCCAACTGACCTAGATGTCCCCTGAAACCATGGTCTCCAGGCCCCTGCCCCTGCTACGCTGTCCCTCGAAGTATTTGGTTGTACTCAGGAAACTTTTTAGCTTTGGTTTAGTCCAGTTGTGCTGACTTCCCCTGTAGTGTGTGCTGTCCTTCCCTTCACCTCAGATAATTCTTGTCTACTATCTAGATAGTGAATAACCCTCTCCCTCCCTCCCCACCCTCGTAACCATCAAAGAATGTTTTCTTCTGTGTTTAAACCTTTTCTTGAGTTCTTATGATAGTGGTCTTATACAATATTTATCCTTCTGTGACTGACTAAATTCACTCTGTATAATGCCCTCCAGATTCCTCTATGTTATAAGATGTTTCATGGCTTCATCGTTGTTCTTTACCATTGCATAGTATTTCACTGTGTGAATATACCATAATTTGCTTATCCATTTGTCCGTTGATGGGCACCTCGGTTGTTTCCATCTTTTTGCTATTGTGAACAGTGCTGCAATGAACATGGGTGGCATATTTATCTGTTCATGTGATGGCTCTTATTTCTCTAGGATATATTCCAAGGAGTGGGATTGCTGGATCGTATGATACTTCTATTTCTAGCTTTTTAAAAAAGCGTGAAATCAATTTCCAAAGCGTGAACTGCCAACCTTTTGACTAGTAGTGGAGCACTTAACTGTTTGTGCCACCCAGGTTGCCACTGGGTCCTACAAAGAATCTTATATAGAAAGTTAAGAGGTTTGGACTTCGTCTTCTAAGCCAGTGGTAATTTTTTTTTTTTTTTTTGAGAATGAAAATGATAAACTGTCATCCCCAGAAAAAGTCACATAAGCTTATGTATTCAAATGTGTCCAAATAATTTCAAGGAGCTCTCTAACCCCCTAGTTTCTCCATAGGCCCGACATTAAGGACTTTTGCTGTAGGCTATGGGAAGCCATTAAGATGTTTTGAACAGGACTTCATATGATGAAAAAGGGTTTTAGGAACATCAGCCAAGAGAAGTGCACAGGGTAGGCTAAAGTGGGGATGAGGATATGTGTGTGCAATTAGCCAACTACTTCTAAAAACATGGATGAGGTCACAAGGGCCTGAACTAGGGTAGTTGGGCAGGAAGTGATTACGGGAGAAGCTTTGAAGGGAAAGACAATCTGGTGACTGATTAGATACTGAGGATGGAGTTAAGAGAATGGCCAAAGATAACTGTCGACATTGAATGTTGAGTGCTTGGAAAAAAAGATGGTTTCATTCTTAGAAACAGTAATCAGAAGGGGAACTGGTTTTATAAGGGAAATGGCTAGTTGGTTTTAGATACCCTGACTGTTTTATGATTTTGGGTGGGGAACAGTTCCAGTTCTAAAATATGGCCAACGAGGTTGTCTTCCCTTAACCCAAGCTATGTTTAGGCTAAGGCCCTCTGCTAGAAGCTGGATAATGACTTCTTTGGATAAATAGACATATAGAAAAATTTGCTCTTAATTAGCCCACAAAGGTCCAAAAAAGGAGGCTAAAATTATAATTTAAAATAATATTTTTTAAATTTATTAAAGTTGTTATCAAAGGGTATCTTAAAAGACTTATGAAAAGGTTAAACAAAGCAACACAAATTATTTTGAGAAAGTATGGATAATAAATGGCTGGTTATATAAGCAAATTTTAAATTACCTGCGTTAATTTGGATATATTCAAAGGAAAACAAAGGGGAAGAGGCATCATTTATGGCAGGAGAGATTTAAGCTAGAAATTAGAAAAGAGAACCATCATGGACATCTTTTGCTTTCGTGACCCTGCCATCCAATACCCCATGTTCTGGTAACAGCACTTTGTTTTCCTTTTGGCGAACTACCAAATTTATTTCTGTCTGGTTTTTATGAGATAACTTTTAAAAGAGTTGCCTGATTTTTACCAAATTTGACATAATATTAAACATTATCAAGAATCATTCCAAGTACAGTTAAGGTGCCATCTTGAAACAACACAAAAAGCATTGATGATTTCAAACAACATATCTGTAATTCTTAGTGTATATGAGGCTTATGAGACTAAATGGATAAATATAAATTTCAAGGTAGATGACTAAGCTTTCCTGTTCCCTGAACCACTCAGAACTTGCATTTTGTCAACTGTGTAATTTCTCTCTGAAGATGCCCTAAAAATGTGACTTCATTTCCATAATTATCATCTTGGTCTAGTGTCTCAAATATTAGAAGTTAACCAATTTCGATAAATATTTAATCTACCAACCAGGTCACATCCAGGAAGCAAAACCCAACCCCCACCCACTCTATGACTTTACAAAGAATGGACAGGTGCTTAGGCGGAAAGGATAGTTCATGCCTTACCTGCAGTGGACAACCACAGGCCCTCGGCCCACAGAAGCAAGTCTGTCTTCTTCTACATCCAGCATGAGCTGTAGAAGGGGCTGGGCACTGTCAGGAGTCTTGTGATCAGGCCATGAAGTGTACCAGTAATGCTTCACATGCTGGGTGTGACTTCCTTGCTGAAAATAGCAACAGCCACCAAACACCTCATTCACATGTGGAACTAAAAGTTATTCAAATCACAATAATGTACACCTTCTGTCCCTCCTAGCTTGCTGGAAACTTTATTTCTAGGTGAAAAATGTGGCTTTTTGGAAACAGGAGATTTTTGAAGAATGCCCTTTCACCTTGAGGAAGCCTTACTATGCATATCCTGATGTCAAAGTTTGACAGCACTTATTAAATGAGATATACATTTCACATGGATAGTGTATACATAACAGTTGCTAAATATAGGTTTATAATTAGTTACAATGAATGAAATGGTAGATGGAAAATGTAGCCAAGAAAGAACTGGGATATTGTGTTTCCTGCTCCATTGAGTGTTCTGCAAAGGTTATTATAAACATGTTAATCAATATAACGAGTTAACCAGTATCAGTTCCCAGGTGCTTCTGGGTAGACTTGAACCACCAACCTTTCGATTAGCAGCCAAGCATGTTAACCATTTGCACCTCCCAGGGACTCTGGTAAACATGCTCAGCTGCTAACAGGAAGAAAGGCCTGGTGAACTACTTCTGAAAAATCAGCCATTGAAAACCCTATGGAGCACAGATTTACTCTGGCACATACAGGGTCACCATGGTTGGAATCAACTCAATAGCAACTGGTTAACCAATAAAAGAACACATAATTTTATATTCAGTCACTCTAATACCTCTACACTCATCCCCAATTCCAGCATTTAACAGTAGTAGTGGGGAATCGCAATAATAAAGGAGCTACATGGAGTTGTTTGATTGAAAATACCTTGAGCACAGAGTCCATGTGCATCATCTTTGCACCCCAGTGCCTGATTGGGGGCTTAGCATATATATACTAAGCACTGGAGGACATGTGTTGAAAACAGTTTTCCGTAAGTGCCTTCCTATCCAACACTTCTCAATAAAAACTGTCACTGCAGCTCTGCCTCCACCCTCTTCCTCTCTAAGATGATTCTGTCCCAACAGTGATGTTCTAGATAGGATTGAAATCTTTGGGGTGATCATCCTCTAGAGGAAAAAATAATACCATGGCAACTTTCCTCTCCATCTGCCTACAATAAGTTAAACAAGATAATTTTTCTATGACATAATCTTGTCTGGGAAAGTCCCTATAAGTTTCTGTAACTCCAAGTTTCTGAAGATCTCATCAACACTTCTGGCTTGTCTTGCTGCCCACGGCCACCCACAAGTGCAGATTCTCCGTTTTCAGTTTCCAGGCCTTACTTATTTAAAGCTGCTTAGACCAAAGTGACATTAAAAAAAAAAAGCCATGGTAAGCTCTCTAGCACAAACCTTTAGTTAAAGACTTTCAAAAGGTTCAATCAGGGATGCGTTAATTATTCAAATTAAAAGACCATAACATCCTACACAATGAATCTCCTTAATATCTACTTATATTAATTTAATGATTCCAAATACTATAGTAGCTGACAACAAAGAAATGCATTAGGAAATGATTATAATTTCTCTTTGATCTTCGTATTATTTAATTTCTTTAAACTGAATCTGTAGTACTTAGGAGGATGAATAATTTCAAAGTAGAAATGCAATACTACATCATCAGCTACTTTGTAGATAACTATAGCTTCATAATCTTACCTTTAAGACCAGGTTCCGAACTGTGTAGTTATCACATTCTTTCACACTGATAACTAGAACCTCAACTTTCCCATATATCCCTCTCTTTTCAGGCCAGTATAGCACACATTTCTAGGGACGGGGGAGGAACACAGAAAACATTAATGGTTTTCATCAGCCTTGGAGCACTTTTCATTTAAGCATCTCAAAGATGATTTTTAATTAATTAATTTGAAAAAAATCAAATATCAAGTTTTATAATTCTGTAAGTATACTAAAACCATTGAATTGTACATTTTAAATGAGTGAATTTTATGGTATGTAAATTATATCTCAATACATTTTTTTTTAAAGTATCAGTTTTTACTTGTGCCTTCCGAACACTGTTGCTACTAACCCCGTAAAAAAGGTAATTATGGCAAAAGTTTTCAAAACTCCACACAGAAATTGAGATCCAAAAATTTGACTCATAGTTTATCATGTGACAACTAGAAATAAAGGGAATGTTCTACCACAACAATTAAGGCAAGTCACGTGTTTCCTGCTTCATCAGACTAGGGTATCTAATAAGAATAGCAGTAATACATCTATGGTATTATATTTTCCAGGACCAATGGTTTCTTCACTTATGGGGTCCATTGAAATAAATGCATAACACAATTAATCTAAAAAAATTGTTGTATCATAGATCCTTCCTGAAGGACATAATAAGAGTAATAATAATTATATTTGTAGGCAAGGCAATATAATACGGTGGTTAAGGGTGCAGTCTTTAGAGTCAGAAAGCATGGATCCAAATTTTGGTTCTACCACTTACTAGCTGTGAGTACCTAAGCAAGTTACCTAACCTCTATGGGCCTCAGTTTCCTCATGATTTAATACATGAAAAACACTTAGAACAAAGCCAGGCACATAGAAAGTACTCAGAATATGTTAATAATATTATTATTATATTTTATGATACTGGCTTATAGTTTTTTTAACCTAAAGTGATTAGATTTTCATACACTAAATATTATTTGATTGTTGTTATATCAAGGCCACATCATTAAAAGAAAACTACAGAATGAGATTCAGGCATAGATATAACCTCATGTTATTTATTATTTAACTTTTAAACAATTGAAAAGCAGCTATTAATTTTTTTTACCACATATTTTAATCACTAAGAATACAAAGGGTAAAAAGTAATGTTTTACTTGGAGTGCCCAGGGAAGCAATGTTAACTTTAGAAATATCTTTACAATAGCACTAATCATTTTCTCCCAACACATACATATTTATACAGAAATTCCTTCATCTGTTGCCGTCGATTAGGATGTTATAATACCCAGAGACTTGTTTCTGCACATTTATATCAAAAGCATAAAACCACGTTTGAAAAAAAATCACTACTTATGGATACAGAAGAGCAGCAAAAGAGCCACAGAATCACAGAATTAAAGGACAAGACATGTAAAGCATCCGAAACACATGTCCGGGGCTGTGTCAGGCTCAGAAGTACCAAATACTCCACATGCTAGCGTCACACACGAAGTCACTTCACCTAGTAAAATCACTGCTTCTTTCATCCATTACAATAAAAACACATTGCATTCTCTGTGTTTTCATTCTTTTCCAAACAAAGTAAATTGTTTTAGCTCTATTACATGCCACCCCACACCCAAGCCTGTCAGGCAAGCAGGCTTACTCTGCCTGACATCTTTAAGAAAAGAAATCTTTTTAAAACAGAGCAACTGAGTTTCTTTCACATTTACCAGTGGCCAAATGCCTAAAACTTCCCCGATTTGTTAAAGGTAATCATACTGACCAATTTGCCTGGTTTCTTTCAAAAGAGCATCAATTATTTTGCTGCAAGACCCAGGCTATTATGTAGCTTAAAACTCATGCCTCCTGCATCAGTCCAAGAAGAATGACCGAGAATCTTGAAAAAGGTATTGAGCAGAGAAAAGAGGCATTCAGCAGTCCTGTTGTCTGGAATACGCGCCCCATTGTCCGTGATCCGACCTGAGCAGCAGGCCCCTCTTTAGGAAAGTGGCTCTCAAGATTGGAAAAAACACTGTGAAGCTGGAGCTCACAGCCTGCACCCTGATCTTAACAATACTGGAGCAGCCTTCTGCACCTACTTGATAAATGGAAGCTCTGCTTGCTTCTCTCCCAAGCTTGCCGGGGCCCTCTTGAATGTTTTTCTTGACTCTTTACCAAAAAAGCAATTGGCAGCCAGCTCCTAGTAGACAATGCAATGTGACTTGTTCATTCAAACAACCCTTAATTAACATCCCATCTCCTTTCTGAGATAAAATAGCTTATTTTTACACACTGAATACATCCCTCCACCCCCTTTCATGAGAAAGTAGAAAAAGAGACCAGATAAAGTGCAGGTGCTTTTGAATACAAGATGGGGGAGAGCTGCAAATATAGTTGTTTCTAAGAGCACAAATCATGTTCAAATTATTTCTGTGATGAGCTTTTCAGGGTTTCTTTATTGTGGCACTAAAAATGATATGAAAGAGGCAGGAAATGCAAGGACGGAAAACTCTGGCTTACAGATAATATCGAGAAACCACACTAATGGTAGGTAATTCAAAATAGCATACTATCTAGCAGAATATAACCCCACATCATCTCTTCTTCAGCTAGCTGGCTGATGCTTTTAAGTAAAGTTACCTATTATTTCTAAGAATTCATAATTTGGAAAAAAAAAAAGAGGTTTTCAGAGGACCTTGTGTCTCTTGTACAAACAGGTAATTAGTGAACCTTGAACAAAAGACTCTGGACATCAACTGGTTCTTTGTAACCAGTGCGTTATGGCAAAAGTAAAATATTAACATAAGCAACACAAACTCATATTTTTATGAGTTTTTTTTCCCTTTGGTCCTCCGCGCCTCCCCAAACTGGGGCATTTGTGTTTAAAGAAGGAGATCTAGCTAGTATTTAGTTGCCTGGAAAAAAAAAATATATATTTATATATATGTATATATATATCTTTTTAAGTTACTTTCCTTTTAGAAAATAGACATTTAAAATCCAAGAGATTTTGCTCTTTGAGCTAAAGACATGTATCATCACATTGAAAGTGGTGGTAAATAAATAAAAAGAAGATGCTCAGTTTCATTTGGGTTATATCAACATATAAGAGAGTAGAATGGGTCAGATTATCTAAATTACAATAAATTATCTAAATTTATTGTAATTACTCTTAATATTGAACAAAGCAGGAGCATTAAAAGCAGATGGAAGGAATACGCAGAGTCACTGTACCAAAAAGAATTGGTCAACGTTCAACCATTTCAGGAGGTAGCATATGATCAGGAACCAATGGTACTGAAGGAAGAAGTCCAAGCTGCACTGAAGGCATTGGTGAAAAACAAGGCTCCAGGAATTGACGGAATACCAATTGAGATGTTTCAACAAATAGATGCGGCTCTGGAGGTGCTCACTCCTCTATGTCAAGATATTTGGAGGACAGCTGCCTGGCCAACTGGCTGGAAGAGATTTATATTTGCACCCATTCCAAAGAAAGGTGATCCAACAGAATGCAGAAATTATGGAACAATATCATTAATATCACACACAAGTAAAATCATGCTGAAAATCATTCAAAAGCGGTTACAACAGTACATTGACAGGGAACTGCCAGAAATTTGAGCTAGTTTCAGAAGAGGACGTGCAAGAAGAGATATTATTGCTCATGTCAGATGGATCTTGGCTGAAAGAAGAGAATACCAGAAAGATGTTTACTTGTGTTTTAATGACCATGAAAGGCATTCAACTGTGTGGATCATAACAAATTATGGATAACTTTGTAAATAATAGGAATTCCAGAACACTTAACTGTGCTCATGCGGAACCTGTGCATAGACCAAGAGACAGTCATTTGAACAGAACAAGGGGATACTGTGTGGTTTAAAGTCAGGAAAGGTGTGTGTCAGGGTTGTATCCTTTCACCGTACTTATTCAATTCACCGTACTTATTCAATCTGTATGCTGAGCAAATAAGTAATCAGAGAAGCTGGCCTATACGAAGAAGAATGGGGCACCAGAATTGGAGAAGACTCACAAACAACTTGTGATATGCAGATGACACAACCTTGTTTGCTGAAAGCAATGAGGACTTGAAGCACTTACTGATGAAGGTCAAAGACTACAGCCTTCAGTACGGATTACATCTCAACTCAACCTCTGAGCTTCTGGCCACTGTTAACCGTTTGGGCCATGAAATGCATTAGGCTACTGGCTGTTGCTGGGCAGTGCTAGGCAAAAATCCTCACAACTGGACCAATAAGCAACATCATGATAAACAGAGAAAAGACCAAAGTTATCAAGGATTTCATTTTGTTTGGATCCATAATCAACATCCATGGAAACAGCAGTCAAGAAATCAAATGACGTATTGCGTTGGGTAACTCTGCTGCAGAAGACCTCTTTAAAGTGTTGAAAAGCAAAGATGTCACTTTGAGGACTAAGGTGCGCCTGACACAAGCCATGGTATTTTCAATTGTCTCATATGCATGAGAAAGCTGGACAATGAATAAGGAAGACTGAAAAAGAATTGATGCCTTCGAATTATGTTGTTGGCAAAGAATACTGAATATACCATGGACTGCCAGAAGAACGAACAAATCTGTCTTGGAAGAAGTACAGCAGGAATGCTCCCTAGAAGCAAGGATGGTGAGACTAGGTCTCACGTACTTTGGACGTTATCAGGAGGGACAAATTCCCGGAGAAGGACATCATGCTTGGTAGAGGGTAAACAAAAAAGAGGAAGACCTTCAATGAGATAGACTGACACAGTGGCTACAACAATGGGCTCAAGCATAGTAATGATTGTGAGGATGGCGCAGGACCAGGCTGTGTTTTGTTCTGTTGTACATAGGGTTGCTGTGAGTTGGAACCAACTTGACAGCACCTAACAACAGCAACAACACTCTTATTCGTAGTGCTCTAACTGAATATTACTAACAGGCACAGCAACTTAATATTAAACTTACCTTCACCAACACGGTATCATTTAACTCTTTCCATAATTCTCTGAGTTAGGTAGAACAGGTAGTAGGTATAATTTATTTATTTATATATTATCATTTTAAAGCTGAGGAAACTGAGGTTCAGATGTGTTCATAAGGGACTCT